TTTTCTTTTTGCTCTATCTTAATTAGATCAAAAGTTATAGGCGAAAAACTTTTGACCTGTTTTTAGCGAAATTTTTACATTTATACCCCCCAAAACCCCCCCTAAATATTGACCTAGAGCAACCAAATTTGCACAGGAGCGAGAACTCCAGGGGGCCCACCTACCTACCAAATTTGGTGTTTCTAGGTGCCATAGGAGCCAATCGCGAGGGGGGGGTCGCATCGACCCCCCCCCCTGCCAGGCCGTGTTATGAAAAATGCCCTGCCAGGGCGAGGGTTAATAGGAAAGCAGCAAACTAACGCACCATTCATTCGAAAGACGAAAAACCTATCATACAAAACTACTAAAATCCCTGAGGAATCAATGGGCCAAACAGGCATCTAATAGGTACCCACTATTCCGTCGTGAAAACGGCCAAATGGTCCTGACCGTAGGTCACCGATATAAAAATTGCGAGGCATGCATTTGATACATACCTACTTATACTCCTATCAATTGCCGAAAGTTTCAAAGCAAACTCAGGTAAGGTAAGTGCCTCAGGAAAGGCGCCGAATGGGAAGAACTTCGAGGAGCGACAAATAAAAACCAACATCAACAGTCGTGTCGCTCATTGCAAGTCTGCGCCAGATTCCAGTAACCGACAATGGCTGAGCAGTGAGTATACGGAAAGTTGCGCCGCTGTCGCCAGCCCGATATTTTTCGCGGCATTTCCAGCTCAAAATCTGCCTGCAATGACTGTGTCTGTTATACCTCCTGGCTGAGGGTCACTCAGCGGTCATAGCCCACCCTCTGCACCTGTTGAAAGCCACCGATCCCCCTACCCGAGCCTGCAGAGGGGACCGGGCCGCTCGCGCTAGGACACCGTGTGTCGGGCTGACACCGAGGGCCCTCCGGCCGCCGCTCCGCCGGCCGCGACGACACGCGACGCGCCGGTGGACGAGGACAGGCGGCGGGAAGGAGGAAGAGCGGGTGTCGGCACCGGCCGGGGCTCCAGTGGTGGTTCGGCGAGCAGCGGCACCACAGTCGGGCGTCGCCACCCTCCTCCGTCCGTGCAAGATGGCGCTCCTCCGCGCCGCCGCCACCGTTGCCACGCTGGGTGAGCTAACAAGAGTTGGTGTCTGGGGCAGCCAGATACGCAGCTGTCCATTCCCGGAATACCAGTAGCATATTTCTCTCGGTTGTTGACGTTGCCGTGACTGTAATATGCTACAAAAGCCCATATTATTGATGTTATGCTACGTCACGAGGCGAGGATGTTGAGGTTTAACCCGCACCCTGGTGGGGTCTGTTTATAACGCGACCTGGTGGGTGGGGGGGGGGGCTTTTTGTGCCCCCCCTCATATCTCCGAAACTACTGAACGGATCCGCAAAATTCAAACGGCGTTCGAAAGGCCCGTCAAATTTGTCAAAAGAAATTGAATTTCATTGACCTCGGGGTCACCGATGACGTCACAGGTCAGGTCAAAGATAAAATGTTTTGCCGTTCACGGGTATGCTACACACAGAAAAATATTAACACCGTTAGCGGTGTAATTGCACAGTACATATCTGAGCACTTGAGGAAAGTTAATTTAGTCCCTTCCCCGCTTAAATTACTCGCGCTTCTAAATGAACACCAGGAAGAAGGTAATAGAACACTGTGTTACTCGCGCTTCTAAATGAACACCAGGAAGAAGGTAATAGAACACTGTTAGGAGGGTTGGGTGTTTTACTACATGTAGCAAAACACCCAACCCTCCTAACAGTGCTCTATTACCTTCTTCCTGGTGTTCATTTAGAAGCGCGAGTAATTTAAGCGGGGAAGGGACTAAATTAACTTTCCTCAAGTGCTCAGATATGTACTGTGCAATTACACCGCTAACGGTGTTAATATTTTTCTGTGTGTAGGGAATGCGCTATATCATCGAGTACCTAAAACACATTTTATCGAAAATCAGCGATAGGGCGTCAGTTGCCCAGTACATATACTGCTATTAGAGGTCACTGATAATACCAGGTCAGGTCACAGTTCAGGTCACCAAGGGTCAGCACATGAACCCAATTTTACCAGGGCTGTGCGATGCATGTTTTATGGCCAATTTTTCATTTCCAACTAAATGGTGCTGGTTATATGTCCATCAGGAACGGTTTAGGTCACTTCCTGGTGGAGTCAGGTCAAAAAAGGTCAAATTTCAAACTGGTCGAGTCAGGTCAATGTCAGGTCAAAAAAGGTCAAATTTCAAAGTTGATATTTTTGCATAAAATGCGTATCGATTCGACGCAGCTCGTCACGGCAAGTCTAATGGTGGTCTTTGTTTGGCGCTTCTTGGTCTAAAATTGCCAAAAATTGAGTTTTAAAATTAGATTTTTGAAAATTTGAAAATTTGACGTCACCATTTTTGAACAGTTTTTTTTTTGCTCTGACTTGGCCAAAAAAGAGATTTCGATCTGAAATTTGGTGTGTAGATAGAACACGGTAAATACTATCACATATTTTCCGGTTTTTCCGAAATTCGAAAAACTTTTTGGATTTTTTGGCTTATATATCCAAAAGATTAATTTTTTTATTTTGGGGGTCAAATTTCAGAAATTTTGTAGCCCTGTCAATTCTACAGCTTTTATGTTTTATCATTTTTCTGCTTTTTTTTCTCAAAGCTATAGGCCTGACAGCTCTTCCCGCGAAACCTTTTTTGGGTCGAAAACGGCAGAACATGACGTCACTCTGACGTCATTTCCGGCCAACCTATCATAGCCTTTGGTAAAAAGTTTTGTCACAATGTGATGTTCAGGAGAGTACTGAAAGTTTGGTGACGATCGGCGCAGTGGTTTTGGAGATATATCTAAAAGTCTGGAGAGGGGCAAAAAATACCCCCCCCCCCCCACCAGGGCGCGGGTTAACGGTTTGGCCCCCAGTTGGCGAAAACCACCAACCACAGACTTCTCTATACATGGACTGTGCACTGATCTGGCCGAAGTAGCATAAGGGGCCCAAAATTGTGGCAATACGTTTGAAGCATTTGCCAGGGAGCATGGCCATTTTTCTTTGAATTATTCATTTTAACGTTCTGGAACCTTCGCTTAAATGGAAAACAAAACATTTTCCGCTATGTTTTCCCGCCAGAATTGCCAATCTTGAGTCAAAATTCCAGGCTGTGGACTTAAATATCAAGCGAAGATCAGAGGCATGCAAGTGTTTCTATGCATTTTGAGTTGTGTGTTCAATGGTAGGTACTGTCATAAAACAGAAAGTTATACCTACTCCCAGCTACAAGTGGACTACTTTTCACCATCGATCAGGTTCAACAAAGACAGTTTTGGTTCCCACACGTATGTATTCGTAACGATTCCCAACGGCCAGCATGGGCACAAACACCGATTTGGTCCACTATCCCAGCCCTTGGGCCGATTCTCCTGGGACGTCTTGGGCCGGCTCGTCAGAAGAGGCAGCAACAGCATGCTCTGTGATCTCTGTGACGGCTCGCTGGTCGTTTTCCAGGCGTTGATGAGAGACAGGGTGCATGCTACATGTTCTTGAACAGGCATGAACTCAGCTCGCGCCCGTTAGTTTGCGGATCTTGTCCGAGTCCACACCGCGCCCACTGGTGCGCGTCGGCGGCCCCTTTCGTTTCTTGCTATGCACTTGGCTGTTCACATCCTTCACGTGGTTAGACACGAACACGTTAAACAGCGCTCCGGCCATGGTGGCGAGGATATTGCTGGTAAACTTGTGCCCCCTTCCACAAGCCACTTCCTTCAGTTCTTCGTCATCGCCGAGCATGTTCTGAACCACAGATCTGAACACATTCTTGGGACTTGAACTGCCAAAGAGGATGGTGTGAGTCTCTGACTGTGAATTCACCAGAAGTCTGTAGAGCTGGCAGACCTCCATGACGACTCGCAGGCACAGTTCACTCGGTTGCAGGAGCTTTCCACGGTTGAGGAGGTCGGTGAAGCTAGCAGCCACCAGCTTTTCTTCAGCATTCTCTGCCACCACGGTTACCAGTTGCGCCCTTAGCCCGTCAGAGAGTAGCGCGCGACACTCATCACATCTGTGAATCTTCTTGACTGAGTGGGCTAAATAGCCTGCTATGTGGTGCAGAGCCTGCTGTGTCCCTTCTGGGACGTCTTGGGCTGGGTCATCAGAAGAGGCAGCAGCGGCATACTCGGTGATCTCAGTGACGGCTCGCTGGTCGTTTTCCAGGCGCTGCTGAGAGACAGGGTGCATGCCAGCCGTCACTATGCTCAGACCATAGCCTGAGAGCCAAATTAGGCTTTTTACGCGGACGATAGCCTCTCCTTAAAAAAAAAAATTGACGAGAGCTCGCCCAGAAGTTGCCTCCGGCCAGTTTCCGGAGATGGCCGAAGTGACCTTCTAGCCGGTCGGATTGAATCTTGCCAAGCAGGACATACTCGAGATCACACTGTCTGAGCAGATACTTGGCCAGCCCGACCAGCCCTCGACAGGTTGCTGCCACTCCACGTATCGTGTCGAGCGACATTTGCGTCTTCTTGTTTCCCTGGGCTTCCCAGCGCAGCATCATCTTTCCGAACTTCTCGATGTATGCCAGCCCTTCTTCATCTCCAGTGGAAATAGGCTGCAGAGTCGAGTCGTTGCGACGAACATGCTTTCCAGGGGACTTCACGTTGACGTCATCACTGTCATCACTGTGTGGACTCCAGGGATTCAGGATATACTCCTGATGCCTCCCATCTTCTCCAAGCGCTCGATAGAAGGCTTGGTTTGTTCTGTGTCCGTCAGTTGTAACGGACACTACACGGTACCCAAGATGGGTGAGACATCGCAGGACTTGGAAGAAGATTCTCTTCATTTCTTGGGTTGTGACGTGGGTGACTGGCGACATGGTTACCAAGTCCTCGTAGTTCCCGGCAACCGACGAAATGTGGGTGCAGAACAAGGTACTGGCGACAGCTGTTGCTTCTCCGCTGCTCTCCCCATGCAGTCTTCCTCCCGCCAGATCGAGTGCTGTGGCACAGTAAACCTCGTCCATGGCCAGATTTACCAGCCGTTCTCTTGGAGACAACTTGGCGACCCGCATCTCCAAATACTTGATGGTCCCGATCTCCAGTCCCTCTTGCACGCTTAGTGCTGACGTAAGTCTCCGGAGAGTGACTCTGTGTGGCAGGACCAGAAGACCCGAGCTGCGCATGTCTTCATACAGTCGGGGACTCGTTCGGCTCCACACCACTGCAGTGGACATGAGTGTCGTGCTGTACCTCCTCCTTTTTGCTGGACTGAGTCGGAGTTGCAGCTGTTCAGCGGCGAACTCCCCAAAAGTACCGCATGATCCAGCTGCATCGTCCGTGCTGATTTTCTGCAGAAAATGCAGTGCAGTCATCACGTTGCCATCTTTCAAAGACTGTGCCTTGAGGAACGCCAGCACGTTCAGGACCTCAGTCGTCGTTTCGAAGCTCCCGGGAACGCTTGTCAGATCAGCTGCCCTGAGAGTAGGCAACTCGCTCCCGGCTGCGTACAAACGGAAACGAAGATCACTGTAGATCGTCAGGTTTCGTACGATGACTGGAATACCTTGATCTGTGTCAAATGCCTCCATTCTGATCGTCACAATGTCCTCCTGAAGTTCAGGAACATGCATCTGTACGAGCCGGTACCCAGTCGGCAGGTCCACCGTAGAGAGCTTTCTCACCATGTCGGTAAGAGATGCCACGTTCTCGGAACGAAACATGGATGCGGCTTGTTCCTCCCACAGTTCTCTTTGCAGCAGCCTTCGTGCTGTTGGAGTCGCGCGTATAGTGGGTCGTTGAGTCTCCTGTCCGCTCTCATTCCTGCAAAAGGTGAGAAATATTTCACTTAACAACTGCATTTAGCAACGGTTGCCAAATATATGGGAAACAAATTAGCATACATGGGTAATTTGGACATTGCCGGATAAATGCTATAAATTGATAAATGTAGCTCGGAACTTATATAGGTACACAAAAAGAAGTTATATACAGTTATATACACAAAAAGAACAATTCAGCAGCATGTGCGACCCTTTTTAACCGCTATGTATGCATGCAGGTTAACAGTTCGGCCTACGGAGGTCATGTAAGGTCAGCTTGTAAGGTCGGGTCGGGTCAGAAAAGGAAAAGATTAAAATGTGCTGAAACCGACTCCAACTCCGGGCCGTCAGAGTTCAAGTTGTCTGGATCAAAAGTTATTCAAGAAAACCATCAGAAGTAAAAACGAACATTTTTCTTCGGTTACCTCTGGTTGGTGACCCAGTTTTTGACCTGACCGAAAAATGACCGAAGTACTTTCTTACTGTTTTTTTTTTACCGTTCTTTCGAACGCCGCCTACCGCTTGTCTCTACGACGCCCCCCCCCCCCCCCCGGCCCGCTGATGGGGCACCGTCCCGGCGCGGGTTAACGTCTGACATGATCACATTAATGACGTAACAGATCAAAGGTCATTTGAGGTAGAGTTCCGAAATTTTCACAGGTGTCAAAATGTAAAGACCATCCTCAACACCTAAGATGTCCTTAATACGTTACTAATGCCCATATTGCTTTGATGAGGTATAAACATATCAACTTACTTGTCCCGGGGTGGGAGCACGGTTGGAACTGCGGTTGGCTTGAGGCGCCGTCGCTGACGGTCGGTTCTTCTTGTCGTGGCAGTGACACAAAAGTCATCACTGGAAAAGTGGAGCTCACAAACCCCACCACTTTTAGGGTATGATTCTTTTACACCTCGTCTGATTGCTTCCAGCCACTTCTTTCGCAATGCACATTCGCGTGGAAAGCTAAATACCGATACCTTTCCCTTTCTCTTGTCACTTCGTCTCCGATGCCGTGTGATTCTATATCCAGAATAACAATTACGTACCGTACACTTCCGTGTCATCAAAAACCCTTTCAAAGGAAAATAGAAAAGATGGAAAATAGACAACTAAAATCATAGGCTAAATATCCTAAATGTGGCGAAGCCTTGCTTAATTTTAGGGCCTTGGCTTGATTGTGGCAGGATTTCCAGAAAATAAAGAATTTGCGTGCAACTCATTGGTGCTTATTTGCGGGAGATACCTCCGATATTCTCAGATATCATTTACCACTACTATTTTCATGAAAACTGTTATTGTTTTTAACGATTTTTTTTGTTTATATCAAAATCAAAACATTTTTTTTTTACTTACTAGACAGATAAAACTTCAAACAATATCCATGTTAAATTTTGCCAGGTTTGCAGGGTTCTTAATAAGTTAAAACTAGGTTCACTTTTGGGCCCCTTATGCTACTTCGGCCAGATCAGTGCACAGTCCATGTATAGAGAAGTCTGTGCACCAACATACGTAGACATAGAGGATTCTTCATGGCTCCGAGTGGAAGATAAGGCTATCTTTTCCAAGCGGGTTACTAAAAAACCGAGCGACGAAGGAGCGAGGTTTTTCTGTAACACACGAGGAAAAGATATCCGATATTCCACGAGTGAGCAATGAAGAATCCTATATCTTTCTATGTTGAGGTTTATTCTTAATTAAATGGTATATTCAAATGTATTCATCTATGTTAAAATAGATTAAAATTAGCTTGTTTTTATTTCCTAAGTTTCATGCACAAACAATCATTAAAAATGGTTCAGTAATTGGCCCATCATCACTTGAACTCTTGATTTTTGGCTATGAACCATATACGGCGGAACGGGGAGGGCACCGGGGCACCGTGCCCTCCTTTGATTTTGGCAATTTAACATTAGCCCTATGGGCGTTGCATGGAAAGAATGGGACCAAAAGTCGGCAGTGCCCCTCCTTAATTGAAGGTGTTCCGCCGCTACAGTATGAACCCTCGAGACCTTATCTTTCTAGTTGAGGTTTATTTGCCATTGGGACTACAGTGCAAGGATATTTCTATCTCGCACTTCTCTGAGATGCAAAGATAAGGTCTCGAGGGTTCATAGCCAAAAATCAAGAGTTCAAGTGATGATGGGTCATTAACTGAACCATTTTTAATGATTGTTTGTGTATGAAACCTATGAAATAAAAACAAAATAATTTTGATCTATTTTTACATAGATGAATACATTTAAATATAATATCTAATTAATTAAGAATAAACCTCAACATGGAAAGATATAGGAATCTTCATGGCTCACTCGTGGAAGATCGGATATATTTTCCTCGCGTGTTACAGAAAAACCTCGCTCCTTCGTCGCTCGGTTTTTACGAGCGAGCGAGCGCAGCGAGCGAAGCGAAGTCTTTTCAATATAACGGAAAAATCTCAGTATGAGCGGCCCGGCCCGGCCCGGCCCGGCCCGGCCTGTAACGCTTTTGAGAGGCTTACAGGGTGTAACGAAATTATCCGGACATCTTTCTTCGCGCTGTAATTAAGAAGCAAGACATTCAGATATTTTCCCTTTTGAATTATTATATAGCCACCTTTCATAAGAGCGCAGGTACACATTTTTGGAGCATTCCAGCCACTGGATTTTCCAGCACAGTGGGTTTCATATAGATTAGCGCCTTACTAACCTGTGCCCGCAGTTGGGCGGCGCTGGTGGCGGGTGTCCCCTCATTCATCTCCTGATGGACAATAGTCCATAATATATCGATGGAATTGCATGGGAACTATTTCCAAGCCATAGCCCTTTAGCCCAGAAGAACAAAAAGGTCCTCTCGGCATCACTTCTCATTCTGCTAGGGACTTGAAGGTGGTGCGCCGCCCCGTATGAAGACTGCGCGGCTTGAATCAGGCATCGGTACACGTTCAGAAACCGAGCCATCCTGTACCGTCTGGTTGAGTGGCTCCAACCAATCGCTAGCCAGGATGTTGCGCCGGTAATACTCGTCACTGATAGTGGTTTTCTGTGTCGTCATGAACAGCTTGAATATTACACAGCAGCTGAACATGCTCCAGGTCTGGATTTTGGCCGGATGTTTGACGCCGGCGACGGCCGGCACATTCGAGCTGCTGGCAGCCCACACATGGCCGATTTGACGGTTCAACGGGTATCGCAGCTCGAACAGCTTCCCATCCGACCAGGTCACCTCATTCGTGTCTTCCTTCGACCAGTGGACACGCCCTGGCCTGAAGCCAAAGGTGGAGTACTGGTTGTTTTTCCGTCAATTTCATTGTCTTCTCCAGTTTGAAGGGCAGTAAAACCAAGCTAAAGGGCGGGTAACGGTGAGTCATGATGTGGGACCTCTTATTATCTGCCTTGGTAAGAATTCGAGTCAGTATGCGGATTAATTGGTGCCGTTTCCTTGTCGCTATCTTGACAACTCTCCTCACCACTTGGCAAAGGGCGCCTTTTGCGATCGAGGCCAGGCTGAGTCTGCCACCAAGTCCCAGCTTATTACGCCTCAGGCAGATGTGCTACTGGCTGCTGCTGATGTCCAGCTGCTGACAGACCAGCTTCTGGCTCATGCCACCATGCCACCAACACGTAGCCTTACTACAAAACGAGAGACTGTACTCCTTTCTCTCCACTGCCTTAAACAAAAACTATCAAATGAACCCGTCGGCGACTCGACTCTGACTCAGAGCAAGAGTCATTTCGCAAAGTCAGGTCACTGCTGAGTTGAGAGCAGATACCAGAGGTATGCATTCATCCAATTTTCCAGCTTCTGACATCAAAAGAGAAACTGTGCGAGCAGATATGGCGAAAAAATAGATGTCCGGATAATTTCGTTACACCCTGTATATCTCAGCAACCGCTGGACCGAATGGCCTGCGGTCTTTTTTGCTGGGTAGCCCCATCCCTTCTACCCCGTAATTGACTACTTTTGATACATATCAGTGACCGCCGTGGCACGTGCCACGTGAAAAGTCAAGGGTGTTCAAGTAGTTTTGCAAAAGTAATGATTTTGAGAGGCCCATATCTCAGCAGCGGATTGAGCGATTGTCTTGCGGTCATTTTTATAGGGTAGCTGCATCCCTTCTACCAAAGGTCGGATACTCTTCATCTATGTGAGTGACCCCCACTGCACGTGCAAAATACAACAATAAGAGGTGCCAAATTTGTTCCCATTTCAGTAACTCGGTAACTACTGGGGCGATTTCGCTGAAACTTGGCATACAGGTAGGCACCCACCAGGCAATGCATTCCCATGTGTTTCGGTTAGGGTGCTACTGCACGTGCGCACGTGCAGGGGGCGTTTCCAGATCTCGAGAACGGCTGGGCCGATTGCGCTCAAATTTGGTACACGGTTGGGGACCGGTTAGTAGGGTGCCGTGCAAAAGTCATTTTGGACCCCGTTTGCACGTGCGCACGTGCAGAATGCCGCTTCCAGATCTCAGGAACGGCTGGGCCGATTGCGTTCAAATTTGGTACACCGCTAGCGAACGGTTAGAAGGGTGCTTTGCACAAGCCCGTTGGAAGTACCCTCTCGCCCTTCTGCACGTGCAGGGCTCACTATCTCGCTGGCTCGTTCTTCGCCCAAAAGGCGTTTTACTGGTTCAGTAACCCGTTTGGAAAAGATATCCTTATCTTCCACTTGGAGCCATGAAGAATCCTCTATATCTTTGCATCTCAGAAGTGCGAGATAGAAATATCCCTGCACTGTAGACCCAATGGCAAATAAACCTCAACTAGAGAGCTAGGAAGATCTGAATCCATACAATTGCGTTGTTATGCACTGAGACTCCTACTCCTACTCAATCCTCCTACAGTCCTACTTAGTCCTACTCCTGTCGACTCCTACTCGAAATTAAACCGTTCATTGGTTCATTATACTGGCCTGATAAACCACGTTAAGATCGATGCTAATTAGGTGTTCACTTCACACTGTTTGATGCATAACAAAT